AAGCAGTTCTAAGCATTCCTCCATGCCGTGCTGATGTGTTTTAACATTAATAAAAGCTTTTAGGAGAAAACATGCCTGAAAGTCCTTTTAAGTGTTTCATTACTCAGACACATGACACCGTCACCGTTCCTCTATCAGTCCAAAATCTCGGAAGGTCCCGGGGACCGACCCAGATTGGATCTATCATGGTGGGGCACGTAGATTCGTCTACATTCGCGATGCCACTGACATATCAAAAGACGCCTTTCGCCTCCTTGCTCAGCAGCCTCGAAATAGCGTACCCGTGATCTCCTGTAAACGGTCTTCATCAATATTCGGGTCGAAGTCGCTTCCCAGCACGTCCGTGCTCCAGGTCTCGCTCACGGTTTCCGAGATGTCCCGGTCTTCGGTCAAGCCCATCATGTCGCGGATCTCAAATTTACGGAGTTTATCGTCCAGATTGTCCTGGGTGGTAGCTGTTTGCAAAAAAACACAAAAAAAACACACAAAAAGAGGGTGCTTTGATCGAAAAGCTTTGTTTCCCGGCCGAGACAGCCAGCATTGCTGATGACGTTTTCCCTGGTTATGTGGACAGCATGGCTACACGCCGAAGGCGCACAGAATGCCGTTACATTCCCACCAAAGTGGTACCTATTTATCTACTCGCAGTGGCATGCTTTCAAACGGCTAGGTTTCAAAGCAGGAGCTGCAGCAAGGAACGGGAGCTCACCCCATCGCAAGGCGCTCAGCTCTCGAATCTGGCAAGCTCAGCATCTTTAACCCCCTCAGTCATTAAAAAAAAAAAACCCCACCTCTTAGGGGTATTTCTGCTGGATCACCCTGCAGGTCGCTTCTCACCTTGTTCACGCTCCAGAAGCTGCAAGGCCTCAACGCCGTTGCTTCCTGACGGTCCAGCCCCCGATTCGGAAACGGATTCCCCTTCTAAATCCAGCGAGGACACCGAATTGGAGCGGTTAGAAGGGCCTGTTGAGGGGAGGGAAAAAAATAACAGAATACACCAATTAAGAGTTGCGCCTGGCCCTCAACAAATGCACCCGACACTCCGTTTAAATGCAACAGAAGGAAGCCAAAGCGGAACAAAAACTGTAAGGGAAAAGGGCTAAACGCACAAAACAAAAAACGGAATTCTGCGACAGCCGGGTCAGCGATAGCAATGCGCGGAAGCTCCGTTTAAACGCGGTTCTGATGGACAAGGAAGAAAAGTGAGCCCTTCACCTTCGGAAATGCCTTCCAGATTATCACTGCAGAGGGAAAACCGCAGGGTTTTATCAGGTTTACCGTGGAGTTTGGCATCGTCGACCGGAACGTCGCCTGGACCCCCATCCGCCAGCTGCATGTTTAAAACCTGGGAAGGAGGCAGAGAGAAAGGGAGAGGGGGCGTTGAAGCCTAGAAAAAGCTGCATTCCTCTCCCAAATGGCCCTTGAGAAGCCTTCTTGCAGGATTCAGCAGCCATCTTTGGCCCAGGAGCTGCGTTTTCTCTTGCTGCGCTCCGTGGAAGTAGCCGGGAACTCCTGTACTTCCGTGGAAGTAGCAGGGAACTCCTGTACTTCCGTGGAAGTAGCAGGGAGTTTCTGCATTTCCCTGAAAGTAGGAGGAACACGGCCAACGAATATTATGTGATCAAGGGACCTTGGCAGTATTATAAGCCGTGCGATGACAAATTACAAAGCCACTTCTGGAGGGGAAAATAAAATACACACCACTCTGAAATGTTGAATTCATTTGTCCCCCAAAATGGCTCTTCAGAGAGAGAGAGAGAGAGAGAAAGACACTATCAGGGGGCCGAATTGCTTGAATGTGCACCTATTTCACTTTGCTTAAGTACCTCATTTTCTGACATCATGCCAGGCGTGATTTGGGGACCTGTCCCGAGAGAAATGACCAAAACCTCTTCGGGCTGGACTTCCTGGATGGTCTCTTGGCAGACCCCCTCGTAATCTGGATGTTGGTCCATCTGGATATTGGAACGGCTCCTGCTGCGAGTGGCTGGAAAAATGATAAATACACACATATATATATAAATATATAAATGTCCTTTTTTTGAAGGTAGAGGAACATCTTACAATTTAAGATAAGATGGCAGCAGAAGCCGACACTTATAAGATGTGACACGTATGCAAGTTGGACGTAGATCAATAAGAAACTGGGAAATTAACACCGACTAGGTACAACCAGGTTGCGGTCCTTGTGACGTGCTGTGAGATTTCAACGTTGCTTTGAAATTCGGTGACAGTGGCTGGAAACCAGGGCTAAAATGTTACTACGCCTCAGCAGAGAATTCCCTACTATAAGCTTGACGTGGTTTAAAACGCAGAAAGGTCCAAGGATCTGGAGACGGTCTCGCCTTCTCCAGAACACCCTTTTAAAGAACAGATTGTCTGAATTCTCACAGGGCAGTTAAGTTACATTTCAACGTCCCCTCAGATTTTTTGGATGGAGCAAAACTGGTTGAGACATGTTGTCCCGCAAGCCTTGGTTTAGAAAGCTGGGAAGCAGATTCCCTCGGCTTCCAAAGGCAAAACCAAGCATGTCTCAGGATGGCTTAGAACAATGTGTGAATCTGGATCATTTTGACTTCACGTTTTAGCCAGCCTCAGTGGAGGGGAAGTGTTTTGAGTGCTGTGATACGCCGAGACTGTTTCAAGGGCTCCGCACCAGGCTAGAAACCATGAGTTCAAGTCCTGCCTTAGCCATGAAAGCCAGCGGGATGACTTTGAGCCAATCATGAGGAGACGGAGAGTTCTAGTTCTGCCCTTAGCCATGAAAGCCCAACCAACCTCACAGGGTTGTTTTGGGGAAAATAAGATGAGGACGGTGTGTTGGACATGCCCACTGCTTTATTTCTAAAAATAATAAAGGCAGGATAAGAAAATGAATAAATAAAGCAAAGCCACCCAGCCAAAGGTGCTTCTTAACGCGCGTTCGGAGAGAGAAGCCGGCGTGCAGAGAGATCAGCTTTGCAGACACCCTAACAGAAACAGGAAGAAGCAAAGAGATCCACTACCCACCAAAAGGGGTTACGAGATTTATATGAGCTGTGAGGTTGGTAGCAGACGTGTCCCAGGCAGTGATGGTTGCCAATTGTTGTCCTGGATTGGCCGCATTAAAGAGAAACACAAGAAAAAAAATCGTTGGAGGGGGAAAAAAAAAACAACAAACCCAGATCAGTTGCAAATTACAAACATATTATCAATTGCATGGAACAACAGGCAGCCAGGAAGTATATCAAAAGGGAAACATCTAAAAACGAAGCCGGCAAATCAGGTTTGTAAATACAGGTAAGTCCTCAACTTACAACAGTTCATTTAGCGACCGTTCAGAGTTACGCCACTGAAAAAAGTGAGTTATGTCCGTTTTTCACACTCACGACCGTTGCAGTCACGTGATCAAAATTCAGAGGCTTGGCAACTGACTCGTATTTATGATGGTCGCGGCGTCTCGGGGTCATGTGATCCCCTTTTCCGACCTTCCAAGCAAAATCAAGGGGAAAGCCAGATTCATTTCACAACCGTGCGACTCATTTAACAACGGCAGCGATTCGTTTAGCAACCGGGGCAAGGAAAGTCGTAAAAATGGGGCAAAACTCACTTAAAACAATTGTCTCGCTCGGCAACGTAAATGCCGGGCTCCGTCGTGGTCGTAAGCTGAGGACTAACCTGCCTTTTGCCCACCTAGCTCGCTAGTCTTGGGTTTACCTATAGCCAGTCGATTTTTTTTGCTGGCGGGAGTGGTTGCCGGTGAGAGTTGTGGGGTGTTGTAAGGCGTCAGCTCCAGGCTCCCGCTTTTCCCCGGCTTGTTCTGGGGTAGATTTAAGAGCAGGTTCTCCAGAGACACTCGATCTTCCTTGAGCTGGTCGCCGGACATGACATTCCGCATGAAGCTAACCTGGAAAGCAAGAGCGTGGTTAAAAAAAAAATTCATAATAATTGGCCATCAACGGGCACGTGGAGGTAAATGACGTCTACACAGTGCTCAAAAGAGACGATCAAAAAGCCTAAAAGGAAACAGAGCAAAGTGCCAGCTCACCGGTGATCCACACCCAGCAGAACAGAGGTTAGCCTCTGGATCAAAACTAGACCAGCAATCAAGTAAACGACACCCCAGTCAAGGAACTACCAATGCAGGCAAGCAAGCTAGCATTAAACAGCAGCCAATCAAGGAAGACCAGTCAAGACCACTCCCACCAACACTGATAGAACAAGCCACTAGTATAGGGGTCTTCAAACTTGGCCCTTTGACTCTGGCTTATATGGTCTATGCTGGCTGAGGAATTCTGGGAGTTGAAGTCCACAAGTCATCAAAGGGCCAAGTTTGAAGACCCCTGGCTTATATGGTCCATGCTGGCTGAGGAATTCTGGGAGTTGAAGTCCATAAGTCATCAAAGGGCCAAGTTTGAAGACCCCCGCACTAGTATAGAAACAGGGAGACAATCCCCCTCCCCCTTGTAGCACTGATGATGTTATCTAGTTTGGTCGTGTAACGTCTCCAAGGAAAGCCCCAAGCTTGGAAAGCACCAAGGACCCCCCCAAAAAAGAAAAAGGCAGAAAACAGATAAACATCCGAACATCACTGCCTCAGATTCTTCGGCACTTACCAGTGTGGTAAGCTGGCTATAGGTCATATAAACCACGGTTCGACTCAGCCCTTCCAGGAGATTCACCGAAGACATCGGAGGGGTTTCTACTGCCCGGCCACCAATGACGACATCCAGGAACGAAGCCACACAGCCCTACAAAAGGTGTGTAAGCCACATTGGTCAGAAATTTGAACAAGATCTCTCTGGGCTGCTGATGCTTGACCCACACAGCCTGGTTTAATGTGCTAAGTCAAATTGCGGCTTAACTGGGTTTTGCTGTGTGAACAAAGCACGGGTAATCAAACGCTCTTTGTTTAGCCTGTGCTGCAAACCTCAATAATTATTTTATTATTTATTAAATCTGTATGGCACCCATCCCACTGTCAAGGGACCCTGGGCGGCTTACAACCCTCTGAAAGCACAATATACAATGCTAAGAGCACGAAACTCATTCAACATTAAGAACGTTAATTCAGAATTACAGTTTATGCCATAGACAAATCGAGCCAGCATTCTTTTTGGGGGAACTCTAAATGTTTATGGCTTAAAGCACTGCTGGCCACTTCAGACACAACGGCTAAATGGCTTCTCGGGAGGGCGAAACTTCAACAACAACCTCAACTGC